CGCTTCCCGCTCACTACAACCACCTTGATTTGTGCCATGTACTCCTGTAGCTGGAGCTGCTTCACCAGGTGCTGGAAAGTGCTCAGCCTGGAGTTGGAAGACATGCTGGTTGCTCTACTTCCCTGTGATCCTGGATCCCTTCTGCTTCTGGAGTCTGGGCAGAGGAAACGAAGCTCAAACCAGGGGAGGGATGGGGGCAAGGTGCGGCTGGAGCTCCCAGACTAGTGGAAATATACCCAGAAGCAGCTGGACAGAGATCAGTCACAGGAAGAGGGGATCCATCTACCACCACTTTTTATAGCTGACCTGGACACAGAGGCAGCTCCAAGTCTGTTTCTGCCCTCCTCCATCCAGGGACTGTGGGGAGCAGCTGTGTGGGGTGCCAGACTTGGCTAAAGATAGTAGTGGTGGCAGGCCGGTCCCATTCCTGTGCTTACTCCCTGCCCAGCCTTCCCCCCTTGGTGGGGTGGAGGAAGCTACACAATCTGGAGAGCTCAATGTGCTGAACAGTAGAGCTGTGCGAAGCTTCAGTAGCGGATTTGATTTGGAGAGGATTTGGCCTGATTCAGGGACTGAATCTCTGAATCGAATCAGAAGGCCAAGTAAAAGCTCTGAATCGATCCAAAGCATCCGAATCAATTAAGAAGAAAAAATCAGAAAAGATTCAGACACTTCAGGGATTTGGCCATAGACTAAACAGGCAGCTGACAGCTGCCTCCAGCTGGTAAGTCTGTTGGGGTTGGGGGAGGGAGGGTTTGGGGCTGGGACAAGCTGCCCAGCCAGGGCAAGGGGGCACATTAGCGCTGGGAGTGGGGGCTCCACTTGCCCAGCCGGGGCAGGGGGGAGATTGCACATTTGGCTTGCTCCAGGCTGAAGGGGGCAAGCAGCAGCAGGGCTGAGCTACTGCTCCCAGCACTGCTGTGCCCCCCTCCCCAAGTAATGCAGCCCCCCCCCCGTCCCAGCTGGGCAGGAGCCCTCAGAGGTTCAAATCACTGCTGCCAGAGCCAGTGAGTGTGGGGCTGTTTTGTTTTTTAACTTGCTGAGATGCTGGGACAGGGCAGGGCAGCCATCAGGGGTGGGGCTGAACAGAAGATCAGGGAGTGGGGGCTGTGTCCCCACAGCCAGCGCTACTGCTGGTTTGTTTTTTTGTTTTTTTAAGTGTCAGGAAGCTGGGGCTGGGTGCGTGATAGGGCTGGGCAGGGTAGCCATGGGGGTTTTACCCATGGCTTCCCCTGTCCAGGGAGAGGCAGACAGTCAAAGGAGCCACAGGAGAACCTGCAGCTGCTCAGCTGTGCCTGCCTCTCCCCAGCCGATCCAAATCACTGAATGTCTCCAAATCAGCACCAAATCTTCCAAAGCTGATTTGGACAAATCAATTCAGGACAGTGATCCGAATCGAATCACTGTCCTCTGAATCTGCCGAATGTGCATCCAAATGGAATACTTCTCTATTTGCACAGGCCTACTAAACAGTGGAATGGGGGTGCAATCACACCACCGCACTGCACCCCCTTGGATTTCCCTTGTATGAACAGGATACCCAATTATGTTATCTGTAAAGAAAATCCATGATGATCTGGTTCTTAGAGTCCTCATCTGAGTCTTACAAATTTGATTCCTTTTACTTTATGTTCTACAATTCAGTTTATCAAAGCAAGAAAGGTCTCTTTCTCTTTCATTGTGCAATAAAAAATGCAGGAGGAAAAAGTTGTACCATCTAGTTTAGGCTCCCGAATCAATCAGCATCTTCCCCTACACCATAGCCCTCCTAGAATTTCATTTAATTCCAGATCACCTGGGATGAGAATGACATGCTAGACAAAGGAATAAGTGCTAATTTTTTTTTTATATAACCCTTATTCTTACATCTAGTAGGCCCCAAATAATTTACAATTCACTTTCAATTTAATGCAAAACAGTTAGATAAAAGCAAACAGTTCTGACTGCCTGAAAACTTAATCTCTGAGTATTTGTCAGGTTCCTTCAAAATCAGGTAGATTTTTTTTTCCATCTTAACATAATTTTGAATAGAGAACTGTTCCCGCTCCCTTAATCATAATGCTGAAATCAGGGGTTGGGTTTCAGCCTTTGAATGGTCTCTCTACTCTGAACAGGCCCATATCCGTTCTCACAAGAAACTCATGAGACACAAATGACAACTTTTCTGGTAACGTTAGTCTGTTCAGGAATCTGAAAAGATCTAATTCACTACTCTTCTTGCAACAATGAAAATGGTGAACAAAAGCTCCAGACATAAGGAGATGTAATTGGTTTTGAAGAGCATGCACATCTGTAGAGCATGCGACATATTATTCCTAAGGGCTCTGCTCTTGAGGGGGAAAAGAAAAGTCCACACTCTAAAACATGCAAATGTCAGTGTAGCAGCAATGAAGCAGTGAATCAGAAATACAACTCCCCCCACCACCTCCAACCCTAGGCACAAGCTTAAAGTAGATGGACAATATCAGGATTCAGATGTTTATATTTTGAAAGCATGACGCTGGAATGGGAGTTAAAAGGTAAGCACAGTTGAGAGAAATGGTGATGAGGCAGGAGAGAAGCAGCTGCAATTGATTTTCCCTTTACACTACAACAATATAGTTTGAAGTACCCAATAGCACCCTCAGATCTCTGTAAATGCCAAAGGAAGTCAAGGTCCAGTGTATGCTTAAATTTTGCAAGCCTAACAATGTTTGTTGGGGGTGATTTTTTTGCTGACATTGGTGTACCAACGGAAGTCCAAATGTAGATAACAAACCAGAAAAAAAGCTGCATGTGGATTGAGAGCATGTAGGCATGGTTATACTGGCAAAATACATGTAGATAAAACTTAAAATCGTTCCAGATTATTAATCATACTTGTTCCTTGGCTACTGCCCAGCCCTTCACCCATTTGGCTTTCTAGTTTCTTTTCTTCACAGCAAGGCAAAGAATGGCATAGGCCTGAAAGTTGATCTAACTTATTCTGTATGTGATGACTTGTACTAGTCAGGATTGAGAAGTGTTAGGATTCATAAAATAAGTAATCCTGTGCTAGCTCAATCAGAAGTATTCTGGAGGCAGAAAGAGATCTTGGAGTCATTATTGACTCCAAGATGAACATGGGCCGACAATGCGAGGTCATGGTTGGCAGGGCTAACCGGACCTTATCGTGCATCCACAGGTGCATCTCGAGCAGAGCCAAGGAGGTGATCCTCCCCCTCTACGCGACGCTGGTCAGGCCACAGCTGGAGTATTGTGTCCAGTTCTGTGCGCCCCATTTCAAGAGGGATGTGGACAACATGGAGAGGGTCCAGAGGAGGGCCACCCGCATGATCCGGGGACAACAGGGCAGACCCTACAGTGAGAGACTGCGGGACCTGAACCTATTCAGCCTCCACAAGAGAAGGCTGAGGGGGGACCTGGTGACCGTCTATAAACTCACTAGGGGGGACCAGAAGGGTTTGGGGGAGACGCTGTTTCCCCTAGCGCCCGCTGGCATAACAAGGAGTAATGGGCACAAGTTGATGGAGAGGAGGTATAGATTGGACATCCGCAAAAACTACTTCACAGTTAGGGCGGCTAGGAGCTGGAACCAACTTCCAAGGGAAGTGGTGCTGGCCCCTACCCTGGGGGTCTTTAAGAAGAGGCTGGATGCCTACCTGGCTGGACTCATTTGAGTCCCATTTCTCTTTTTGGGGTTTTTTGTTGTTCTCCCGCCCTGGCGGGGGGTCGGGCTAGAAGATCTACTAGGTCCCTTCCGATCCTAAATCTATGAAACTATGAAACTGTGACTGAATGCAGACATTCAATTAACAGTGCTGTGAATGTAACACTTTTTGTCAGCTCTACTCATCTGGACAGGCAAACAGGGCATTTTGGGCCACTGCTGAAAGGAGAAGGGAAGGCTCCATGATCACTGGCAAGCAAGCTCAGGCCCCTGAACACCTGTTTACAAGTATGAAGTGTGTTCTCTCAGCTTGTCATCTCATGGCATCTCTCTCCAACTCTACAGCCTACTTAAAGCACTCTTCAAAATCGTAAAGACTCTCTGCTTATTTGGTTTATAAGGAAATCTTCTGGTATCCCAATCGTGAACAGAGGGAATGGCTAGCTATGGCAGGAAATAAAGGGGAACACAAGCCTCCTTTCGAGAGAAGTAGTGCTGAAGCTGGCCTGATGACACTGGCATCAATGACACTGATTGCTGTACCTTGGTGTGTTTACTGAGGATGGATCAACTTATCAGAAACTCAGGAGCAATCTAACTGGGATACCCATCATGTGACAAGAAAAAATTATGGAAGCCCCATAATTGATTTCCAGAACCAGGTTTTGTAATGCACTGAAAATATATGCTGGATGCATTGAAATATACGATCCTTGCTTAAACTTTTTAAAATGTTTCAGATTGTTGACGGTCTAGGTCCCAAAGATTTTCTTTACACCATCTTTTTCCATCAAACTTTTCTAAAAACCTTGTTTCTACTCACACTAGCTCAGACAGCAGTGGGAAATGGAGGAGTGCAGCCTGTAATGTGTGTAATAAGATGACACACGTAACAAATGTGTTCAGGAAGATATTCTGCAGATATCACAGCCCTGAGGAATCGTCTCATTCCTTTTCTCATCCCTATCATGCAGGGCATTCATCACCGTTGCCAACATTACTACATTAATTCTCATAGTAACCCTATGAGGCAATTATCTCTTTCTATATAAACAGATGGGGAACTGAGGCATAAAGTGATTAAGTGACTTTTCCAAGGTCATCCAGGAAGTCTTGGAAAACAGGAGCTAAACCTGCATACTTTGAGTTCCCAGTCGTGAGGTTGTCCTTTTGCTCTGTGCTGCGGGCACTGCTCCTGCCAACAGAGAGAGACTGGACCCCTTAAGAATCTGTCATGTTACTCTATCTGGTAGGTGGTGTCTACTGCAACACAAAACACTGAATTCCTCACGCAAAGAAACTGAGTGCACTGTGTGATATCTATAGGCTGGAAAAAATACTGCCCATACGATTCCTTAAGAACATCAACATTTATTTAACATGATATAAAAGAAATGAGATATGAACATTTGCATTTGAACAATAGTAAGTGGCTTCTTATACTTACATTGTATGCGCTCATTGTATAATATATACACAATGAACATAATTACATTTGTACACAAACTAAGTACTGGATTGAAAACCTGCTTATTGCTGTACACACCCTATTCCAACCAAGTAAAAGCCCAGTACCTCAAAATACCTACAACTTCATTTAATTAAGAAAAATTAAGCACTAACATTCGTGTATATGTTGACAACAGTGTGGCAGTAACTGCTGACGTTGCAACCTGACTGAGAAATAATTACAGCAGAAACAGGACATACTTTACTCAGCAATAATAAAAATGGCACATTTTAAATATATATATATATTTATATAAAAAATTTACAAATTAAAAGTTAAAACAATATATTGTAGTGTCTAGAAACTGTAAAACAAGGTTTAGTGGCAATATGCAAAAGTAACTGATTCTGTACGTACCTAAAAGAAGCAAAAATGAAAACTTAAATGATACCATAATTAACCAAAAATTCAATTTTGGAAAATGTCAGCTAAGGTTCTGACAGTGGACCGCACATTTACAAGAACCTTTACTTATGTGCATGGAAATCATAGCAGCAAGCTGGTATCAGAAGAACAATCTTCAGATTGTTGAGTGTACATATGGGCCATTAAAGCTGTCTTGGAATAAACATTTTCCAGGAGGTGATAAAATGATGCTCTGCAGTCAAAAGCATCAGAACTATGAATTTCATAGATTTAAAATATACTGTACAATATCTTCTTACATTTCCACACGTCCATACATCTCAGCCATGAATTGTTTCAATAGAAGCTGTTACAGCTGAAAGACAGACATGGAACTAGTTACTTTATTTTACCAAAACTAGAATATTGTATAAAGTAATTCTTGGGATTAGAAGTTTCTGAGCTCACTGTGGTATCTTAGAAAATAAAACTATTTCTGAAACCTTTTTCTTGATGCATTAAGGCTGTTTTGAGGCAATGAACACATGTAAACTGAATCAAACACACATTTTTGTATGAAGAACTATCTAAGAGTTTTATACTGCTATGCATTATTTATCACTATATTAGACTGCCTTCCACATAAAATAAACAGCAATAGCAAAGTCCCTGAATGTTTCACCTAAGGGCAGACGAGAAACAGGACACAGTATTCTTCATTTGCTGTGCTGTAGTGCATATGGGATGTATTCCCATCCAGAGGTAATGTATTCCATCCAGAAGTAATGCATTTCCAGTTGCTGCTGACAGTTATTTAGTAAAGGATTTAAAGAACTCAGGGATGAAAGGTACTATATAAAATTTATCATCACTCCATTAAACTTTTTATCCATGTGCTTAAAATGTAACAATATGCTATTGATAGAGATCTAGAAATATGTCTCTATGATATCGGAGCCATGGCATAGAAAGTAGCCTTCTCAAATGAGTTCTCTTTCCTTAGTTCCAGGATATCTTATATTGCAGTTTTCCTATGTCAGATTCTACTTCCATCATGCCAGGAGTATCACTTTACTGTCTGTAAAAACTATATATAGGTATTACTTCATCATCCGCATCATGCATTTTCCAGATGCTGCCGTAAAAAAAAAAAAAAAGAATCACTCAGCTATACTAACACTCAACTTAGAAATTCTCTCTACTGATACATTTCTTGCCCAACAAATTGAATTCTATTGAGCAACAGAGTTCCTACATTAAAATAAGAGACTCCCTTCCTGTAAATCAGGAGAAATTTTAAAAGCTCAGGTTAGTCCTATATTCTAGCTACTTTACACTTGGAAATTACAGGTTTTTATACAATATTATTAAATTTATCCCACATTTAACAGGCATTTGCAATAAGTTTGTGCCTAAGCAATGTGCTAGAAGGACAGCCCAGGAGAAAGACTTCACTCAGAGAAAGCACGCTGGGAACAGTAGTACTGCATTTCAACACTTATGTGGACCCAGATCTCTAGTGCTGGGGCTCTCTGATGAGACTTAACAAGTGCATCAATTACACTCATGATGTGTATGCTTCGGAATGAACTAGTGACTCCAATTCAATTCAGACAATGAATAACTATTCGAGGACAACTATTTTCTGTTTCTTGAAATCACTGACCTCACAAAGACCTAGAAGCAGAAAACTGTTTCTTGTTATAACATCCCAAGAATGCATTATGTTAGTCATCAGTGATTACAGCGTTACTTGTGTAAACACCATATTTAAGGTAGCAACACTATCAAGATATAGGGCCGCCTTGACTGACACATGCACAGCAATAGCAGGGGTCAGGGTAGAACACAAGGCAATAAAACAGAATGCAATACCAGCTTTTCTCCTCTGCTAACTGCAGTTCAGTCTGGCATAACTATGGAGAAAATGGATCTGATAATCTCGTTATTGGCATGGGTGCCAAGACCAGCTTGATGTCATAGGTAGACTACTCAAAAGATGACTGGCTCCTTCTCGACAGAACTGCTACAGCCAATCTACATGTGGAAGTTAGCAGAGCTCTAAACCAGCCATGCTAGCTCCAGTCAGTTCACTGAACTTTAGTTTTGTGCAAAATAAAAGTGTTTTTGATTAATGCATGTCCTACTTAAGGATCCATAATATATATGTACATACCTAACATTTATGAATATTTGCAATAAATCCTTTTGTCATGTTGCTACCTTACTGGTTGCCTGTGGTGAAACCTGATCTTACGAAAAATGATACTCCAAGCTAGCCCTATAATTCTTTCACGAATCAAAGGGTAATCACCTGGAGCGGGCAAAGATTCCCCTGCTGTAGCTGTGAGATCCAGTATAAGGTGAGTGGAACTGAGGCCTGTGGGAATACGGAGTTACCCCAGGGCAAACTTTGGTCCGTCCTTTGGCATAAATGTCTGCAAGCCAGGACAGCAGGAAAAAAAGTGGGGCTCTAGGGTTACACTGCGGAGGGGTCTGTGACATGGTTTTATTACTGCTACCCTCCTCCTCCTTTTTTTTCCTTCTATTATTTGTAACATCACACTCATTACTGTGTCTTGTCTAAAATGACAAACTTTCCTGAGTACAGATCATATCTTTCTGTGGTACATGCCTAATTCAACAACACTCTGATCCTAACTGAAGCCTTAAGGTGCTACTCCAGTTGAACACTGACACTTCTATCTTAAGAAATTATGTATTTCCTTACAGTCTACCATCTCATACTTATCAAGGGACTATTTTGGTGCCATTATAGGAAACTAGGCTTGATGATCTAACTGGTCTTCTCCATCTTTACATACTACTTGACCCATCTGAATATTATGGATTATCTGCAAGTAATTAATGCACTTCTCTATTTAAATTTCCTGACAGTTGGACTTAATTAATATCTCAGCTACATCCACCTTGCCTACCAAAATTTCTCAGAAAGAACAAGAGAATACTTAAGATGGTAGGGACAAAAAAAAGACATACTTCTCTGGTAGCTATACACACATGAAATGTGATCCTTCAGTGAGCTGTGGTTGGGCTGATGGAGCTGGTGATGATGGGGACTCTGGTGAAGAGGACAGACTTTTCACTGCAAATCACATAAGGAAAAATCAAGAATAAAATTCACAAAAGGCTTAACCAACTTGAAACTATTATTTCAAACAAAATAAGCATAACACAAAAGCTAAAAATGATAAAATAACTGTTTTTAGCCAGCATTACACAACTAAATTAACATTACTTCTGACAGTTCTGAAGGAAGGCATATGTTTACACACATATTGGTGCAATGGCCATGGAACATACATGACACACAGGAGGGAGTCGCTTGCAGTACAGAGGAGGTGGGACATCTATTTTTAAAATATGAAGGAGGTTCTTTACTTAGGTTATTAGACAGAGACATGAACCAGGTTATGAAGACTGATGTGCACTTCCTGCTACTCAGGTCATGTCTCTTGCAAAATCCCCAAATGCCAGGGGCTCTGAGCAAGACAGGAAGGACAAACAGGATGCAGAATGCACATAGGGACAATACATCTGAAGGAAATCCAAGACTAGGGCATATCCTGTCTTTCTCCTTTGAGTATTTGTTCATATGTAGGCAATTCCAGAGCAGTGCCTCCGAACATGTGAAGGCAAGTTTCAGAATCCTATACAAACAGTAACCACAGGCTTGCTTTGCTGAATGCTGTATCTGCATTAGGAACCTCTGTGATGGCACAATGCGGCAGTTGCCAACTTAGAAGTCATGCTAGGTTTTAGCACCTAGATTTAATAATAGCGGCAAGACTCACATTGGAAATGGGATTGCAAGCTAGCCAGAAGTGCACTAATTAAGTGCAGAAAAAGACTGGGAACAATTGGCAGAAGGTGAAGGTGTACATAAATCATTTGATCAGACTAGAGTCAGTAGGATTAGTCATGTGGAGTCCTCTCTCATGTTGCACAGCACTTACGCAATTACAGACACAAGGCAGAAAGACAGTTTCCCTACCACAGAAGGAGACAAGTGTCACAAAGCGAACCCGGAAGCAAAAAATCCACTTCTTGTTGATACCCGAGGCAAAGGCATTCATCACTGGATGGCCCCACCTGAAAATGTCCTGTAGGACAGATTTAGGATCTCCTATATGCTTGCTGAGACTGTTTGTTCAGGTATTCTGAAGGAGGGGAAGAGACCTTTCTCTTTCTCATTCCTTGTTTGTTGATATAAAAAAATTGATGTGGTACTCCACTGTGCAAGTATCGAGCACGCTCTGTAGACTGCCCTGCATTCCAGAACACTGATATGTAAGCTTTGCACTCGATGGTCATCCATGTGTGCCCTTCATTCTAGCCGGGAGGCACCCCTCACAGTTGTCAATGATGGTTGGAAGAAAAAAGACCTCTTTGCAGTTGTTCATAATCCTTCCATCAAGTGAAGAGGAACCTGAGCAGCAAGGGACTGTTCATAGTTTCATAGTTTCTAGGGTCGGAAGGGACCTTAGCAGATCATCTAGTCTGACCCCCTGCCATGGCAGGAAAGAGTATTGGGGTCAAACGACCCCAGCAAGGTGTTCATCTAACCTCCTCTTAAAGACCCCCAGGGTAGGAGCCTGCACCACCTCTCTTGGAAGTTGGTTCCAGACCCTAGCCACCCTGACCATGAAATAGCGCCTCCTGATGTCTAACCTAAACCTACCCTCTGCCAGCTTGTGACCGTTATTCCTGGTCACTCCTGGCTGTGCACGGGGGAACAGTGACTCCCCCAATGCCTGCTGATCCCCCCTGACTAGTTTATAACAGGCCACAAGATCCCCCCCCTCAGCTTTCTCTTTTGGAGGCTGAACAGGTTCAGGTCCCGTAGTCTCTCCTCATAGGGCCTGCCCTGCTGTCCCCTGATCATGCAAGTGGCCCTCCTCAGGACCCTCTTGATGCTGTCCACATTCCACTTGAAGCGCGGCACCCAAAACTGGACGCAGTACTCCAACTGCGGCCTGACCAAAGCCGCATAGAGGGGGAGGATCACCTCTTTTGACCTGCTTGAAATGCATCTGTGGATGCATGACAAGGTACGGCTGGCCTTCCTAACTGCCTCCCCACACTGCTGACCCATGTTCATCTTGGACTCAATGACGACTCCAAGATCCTTTTCCGCCTCCGTGCTGACAAGAGGGGAGTTCCCCAACCTGTAGGTATGGTGCCGGTTGTTTCTCCCCAGGTGCATCACCTTGCACTTGTCTGTGTTGAAACCCATCCTATTCTCATCCGCCCACCCTTGTAACCTGTCTAGGTCAGATTGCAGCCTGTTGCTTCTTTCCATAGCCAGTAGAACTGATGGATATTAAACATAATTGTGAGCATCGATGTAATCCAGTATGTAGCATCACATAGGTGCAAGAAACTGTGTCCTAGGATGGATAGCTGAGTCTCGACTATTGTCTGTGGATTTGACTGGATCTGCATGATGAGATCCAGAGAAGACCAGAGTTGGTTTTGAGGATGGCAAGGTGGCTGACATATTCAAGAGTGACCCCCTATAAAAACTCCAGTCTTTGAACAAAGACCAGATTCATTTTTTGGGTGTGCACCATGAGATCTTGGGTATGGAACAAGCACAGGATGGTGCAGAAATTCTCCTCTCCCTCATTGATGGAGGTGCCTCCCCTATCTGCTCCTTTAATAAACATCATTATCACTGTAAAGACCCTGTGCCATTTTGGGGCCATTAGAATTCCAAAATGGAAGTACTCTGCATTGGTAGTGCTCCTGGCTTACCATGAATTGGATGTATTTTCTATATGAAGGCATAACAGCAATGTGAAACTACGCTCCCTCACAACCAAGAGGTGTGAATCAGTCTTCTGGTTTCAGGGAGGGGATTAGGGCAGCCAGTACTACCACCCTGAACTGGAATGTGTGGATAAAGGAATTAAGTTTTCTTAATCGTGATGGGACACCATTCTCCTTTCCTCTTCTGAGAGCAGAAATTAACCATTGTAGAACATCTTCCCCCTTTGTGATAGAAAAATCTTGCAAGAAGAGTCCCTAAGAAAGGACAGGGAAGTGGGAACTGACTGGGAGTAGGCACTATGCTTGTTTGGGTGATAGAATCATAGAAAATTAGGGTTGGAAGGGACCTCAGGAGGTTATCTACATTTAGTGCAACCCCCTGCTCAAAGTAGGAACAACCCCCACTATATTATCCCAGCCAAGGTAGAGCTAACTATGATGGTATCTCAGAAGCACTTGCTGTAACACGGCCTGTGTCTGCCAGAAATGTACCAAAGGGAAAGGAGAGGGACAAGTGGGAAGGAGGAAGTGGGCTGAATCTGTGGACCACTGCGCTGAAGATTTTGCCTGTTGTCCAAAGATTGGCGAGTCGATGGAACCATCTATGAAGGAAAGTGCTGACATGTCCCTGAGGACTCCGGAGAGTGGGACGTAAATGGCAAAGCAGAAAATGGGTTCAGCCTGCTCATAGTCTCCTGGGCTAGGGGGGACAGACATTACACAAACTGGTTTAAGCAATCAGAAACTGGTTTAAAAACCTGTTACAGGACAGATGTTCAGTGCACATAAACCACTTTGAAAATGGCTGAAACCGGTTTGGTATAAACCTGGTTGAATGTAGAATCAGACTGAACTGATTTGGGTCAAACCAGTTTATGCAATACCTGTCCCGGACCCTGAGGATGGACCTGGAGTCCTGAAGGATGAACAGAATCTCATCCGCTTTGGAGTTAAAAAGTTTCGCCTTGTCAGTGAGAAGCTTCTCCAACAGTGCTTGGCACCTCCATGGGAAAGCCAGACTTTGAAGCCATGACAGCCAAGCATGTGCATTCATAGTAGAACGTGCATATGGAAGAGTGTGTGGCGGAGAGTGGATATTCCGTCAACACTCTGTTCTTGCAAGGTGTGGCACTAAAAGTGCCTCAAGCACATTGGGCTTTGGGATGGAGAGGGCACTTCATGTGTATTCAGCATCCCATGCTTCAAAATGGCGGCTTTGATAAGCTTTAGTTCAAGTGTCCTTGCACTTCAAAATTGCACATGGAGCAGACATCTGGCACATGCATAAGTGCCCACTGTGCTCTGCGTTTGCCATCTTTCCCCTAGACATGGAAACAGGCAGACAGAACAAGTTCTCTCTTCCTGGTTCATAAACTGATGGCTGAATTGGGAACTAAATTATTCATCACTGAGATCAAGAAAAGAGATCTTATCTCTAACTGGAACACACAGGAAGATGAGCAGCAACATTAAGAGCTGGCTGGGACCAGCAGCAAGCAGGCAGGCTGAAAATCCAATCAGAACTGGGAAGGGTAAGTGAAGAAGAGTGTGTTCCACCTTGGCAGGAACTGTCCTGTTTCCCAGTTATTGGAAACTCTCTCATTCTTGAATGACCTTGTGCCCCCCAAAAAAACAAAATATTTTTCTGAGTCATCTACTGGGAAATTAGTCAAACCTATTTTACCCCTCAGAGATGCAAAAATATGCATCTGGGATCAAGGTCTACCTCAGGTCTCTTTGGACTACCCAAGAATTTCAGAGCAATCAAAATATAACCTCAGAACATGTGCCATGTATGTAAAATTTAATTTGAATCCATGCTTCCATGCAATTGACTAATCAAATGTATTTTCCATACCTGCCGATGTCTGTACTGATAACTCAAAAGAAGAATTAAACCCTTCTTGTTCTTGAACTCCGGCTGCTTCGTTCTTTTCTGGTCTAGTTTCAGGTTTGTGGTTTGCAACTGGGGCCACATTCTGCAAACTAATTTAAAAAAAAGGCACTACTTTTAGTGCACATTCTAGCTTAATTTCAAGCATTAACTACATTTACATCTTGTTTGGAATTACACTGCTTATTTTTTTTCAGTTAACAAATGGCAGCAATTAGAGGCACAAGGCAAAAAGACCATGCTGCGACTTGCAAAGTATTTAAATCAAATGCACATTTCCATAACATACACTAATTTTGAAAACCTGAATTCAAAAGAAAAAGTTTCAGTTTTTGTTTCTACTTTATAAAATTAGACTTCAGAGTAAAAACTATAAACTGGTGACTGAACAGGTTTTTTTCATTTACGTGCTCACACTGTGAAATTAAAGGCAGTAGGAAAGGTAAAGGGCACAATGTGGTGAGAATGTCCTGATTTTGTGGGGCAGCCCCACTCAGCATTTACAGGAAGGTCCATTTGCCCAACTTCCAGTCCCATCAAATGCATCAAAGCTCCAGCACCCTTCTGATTCTGAAACATTTCAATTCAATGAAGTACCCAAGGAAGGAATGGGGGCACAGGAGTGGGTCAAAAAGTCAAGCCTGCTCTTTAGTTGATGACTTCTATATACAGAGCAGCAGTGAAGCATTCAGTCTTGGATAAAGTGTTTCACAGTAGGCTTGTGGTATGCTCTACAGATGAGAGGAAAGATACTAAAGATTCAACCCCAGAGGACATAATTGAATACCTCCTGCATCTCAAAACAAAATAAATATTGTGCTACTCCATGATGCAGATACCGTGCCTGCAACTGAGACAGCAATAGCAATTTGTCAGGTATTAGTGGTGAGGAAAAACAGCAACTAGGAAAGGGGGAAAAGCTGACCCAAAAGTCAGTTCAGGGGAGTGCCCATGACACCAAGGTATTTCATGGTTCTTTATGTCTTGCCCTGAGTAAGATCTAAAAATCGGTGTTGTCCAAGGCTCTCCAATCCAGTACCAATCCACAGTGGGCAAGCTCAATGAATTCCTAGTGTCAACAGGGTGGTTAAAATAAAAGTTTTTTCCAATAAACATGAATCTGCTATGAATTTGAAGAGAATTCAGAGGCACTCAGAATATAAGAAAATAGCACTATGGGTAAACAGCACATTTAGTTCTACAGTTATGCTGCATTCCTTTGAAGGAAGAAATCTGTGTTCCCCAACAGACACTGGGTTTTGTCTAGAAATACAAGTTAAAAAGGGCTAATGAGAAAAACCTGTATTATTATTTATTTATATCCCATCCTACCCAGAACTTCTCCGGGCAACTAACAATAAAAGACATGCAATCCAGGAGGTAAGAAACAACAGGCTCTCCAAATATCACACCCCCACAACTTGAAAACTCCACTTTACCCCACCCACCCATTCCCACCCACTGCCCTCACATCCAGGGGAGATAGTTCTGCCCTCCCCCTAAATGTTCCCCCCAAGCCTACACTCCCATCTCCTGCAGGAGGCTGTCCTCAAAAACACATTAATTGCCCCATATTTATTAGGCCCCTGGCAGACACTACACTTCATAGTTTCATAGTAGGTAGAGTCAGAAGGGACCTGAGTAGATCATCTAGTCTGACCCCCTGTCATGGCAGGAAAGAGTACTGGGGTCAAACGACCCCAGCAAGGTGACTGTCTAGCCTCCTCTTAAAGACCCCCAGGGTAGGA